CCTAGCTCCTAAAACCTATGCACTCAGGGGTGAGGACCCCATTGTATACACACATAGTAAGAGGCAGTCCTTATTATAGAGCTCACCATGTATATAGACAAGGGTGGGGGGAGGGAGGATTCTTATCTACATTTTGCATGTGGGGAAACTGAGGCACAGAGTGGGCAGTACCCAAAGTCACATAGGGAGTCTGCGGTAAAGCCATGAATTGAACTAACAGCTCCTAACTCCTACACCATCGTCCTAGCCATCAGACCATCCTTGCTTGAGGAGGAGGAGGGGGGCCAGCTCTGGGAGGGGATGTTGACACCCGCACCCAGGAGCCTCAGGGATGGAGTGGGGAGCAGCAGAGCAGTCCGAGTTTCCCGGGGCTGATAGCTGTCCCTGCGAGACTCTCCACACACCCACTGCAGGGCCCAAAGCTCACATCCCTCCCCTGCAGTAGGAACCTCCCCCCTCCTCCCCAAAACTCAGAACCTAGGGCTGGAGGAGATCTGAGCTGCCCCTCCGAGAGTGAGGCTTGGCCAGCCAAACCCTCAGCTCAGGACTGAGCGCCAGGCCTCCTGCGTGCTAACCAAAGCGCTGACTCGCCGGGCAGCAAGTCACTGCTCGGCCGTGCCTCAGTTTCCCCACTTGCGAAGGAGTAGTACTCGCCTCCTGGGGGGCAGCGCCGGACAGAGGCTGCCAGGCCAGCGAATGCTGCACATGCTACTGTAAGAGAGTCATCGCTCGCCCCTGCTCTGCCCAGCGGGCCAGGCTGCGTCTCACATGAACTGGGAGTGGGGCGAGCTAACGCTCCCACTAACCCCCCTGCCCTGAAGGGACCCTGCTACGGTGCAGCCCTGAGCCCCCCCAGAGGAGACGGCAAAGCCCCTCCCCACGCCCTGCAGTCGCCCAGCCTTCGCCCCAGACAATTGCAGGGACCCTGCCGTGCGCATCTGCCCGCGGTAACTGGGCCATTTCGTGGGATCTAAACGTGGCCCGGCACCAGCCCTGGATCCTCTTTGCTTCGGGTCCCGGCCAAGCCAAGCGGGTGATTCACGGAACCGATTTCCACAGCCCCTAGCCAGCAGCTGCGCGACCCCTGACCCAACGGGAAGCCCGCCCTGCTCCCCTGGGCTACCCGCCGGCGGGGGCTTGGCTCCGAAAGGAAACCGAGGCACAGCAGGAGCCCTCAGCAGCCCACGCTGCCCTGGAGCGGGTCCAGGCAAAGCGAAAATGCCGCTCGCCCCCCAGCCACGGGACCACCCCGCCACCGACCCAGCGCGTCCACAACCCCCGCGAGCAACCCGGGCGCCCTGCAAAAAGGCCGCCTCTCCAGCCAACGCTTCCTGGGGGATCAGGCCAGGGAGAAACCCCCCTTCCGCCGCCTGGGGAAAGTCCGGGTTTTCAAGCCCGCCTTGTAGCATCTGCCAAAGGCTGGAGCTGCGGCGCTCCGGCCGAACAAAGCGACACACGCTGGTGAGCAGCAGATGCTAGAGGAGCCCTGGAAATGGGCTATTCATGGGCATTCGGTCGAGAGCGGACGGCTTGGAGTCTGCGTTCGCTCTGCTGGGCCGTTCAGCGCCACACGCCGCCTTGCTGCTCTGCACACAAAACAAGTCCCCTCACCCTCCAAACCCAAACATCTCCCGGTGCATGGGAAAACGCCGGGATCCAGCAGGCGGATCTGCCGGGCAGCTACAGTCCAGGAAACAGGCGAATAACACACGCGCAAGCATCACCGTCTGCAGCTGAATAACCCGCATGTAAAAAAAAATACATTCACCCACCTGGTTCCTTTGTCTCCCATGGCCCAGGCCACCCTTCCAGCCACTTGCCAGGGAAGGATCAGAGAGGCGTGGAAAATTACTAGCTGTTAATGTGGAGCCAGAGGAAGCGGTCGTCTCCTGGCAGGAATTGCTTACTCGCGCTCTCACCGCACCAGCGCGCAGACCCCGGCTGCAGACGATGCAGAGCTCCACCGGGCTGTCGCCTGGCTCCGTGTCTTAATAACAACAAGACTGCTGGGCGTGTGGCCGTCCGGCCCTGAGGTGCTTTTGTGCGTAGAGATCACAGCCTGGAACAAACCCAGCGGTGGTGCACGGATGTCAACGCAGCCATGAGATGAAGGGCACAGGCGCAAATCCCAGGCACAGGGAGACACACACACACACACACACACACGCAGAGGATCCCTTAGAGGGTTGTAGCTCGCAGACACGGCTGCTCCATCTCTCCCATTGACAGTTTCCCCTCCTGCCTCCGTGGAGAGAGATCCACCCTCGCCGGGCTCCGAGCAACACCGCCTCCTACTCCAGGCGTGCACAGCTCAGGACTGAGCCGCGCACAGCTGCTGCAGCCCGTGTGGTAACAGGCTCAGGAAATCAGCATCAGCATCATCTCCCTCCGGCTGCCCAGAGCTGCGTGAGAGCAGGGGGCTGGCTCTGCCCGTGGCCTGTGAACCGCGGAGTGTGTGCACGCAGGGGAGCTGGCCATGCCGCAGCTCTCCAGGCAGGGGAGTTTGCGTTTCCTGGAAACGCTCTGTGACCCTTCTCTTCCTGGTGCCAAACAGCTGGATTTGGGCAGAAACCATCCCAGGCCATTGGCTTGGCTTGCAGGACAACGTACAGCCGGTCTCACCCCTGCACTGCCCCCCCATCCGCCTCTTATTAACCCCTCCAGCACAATGCATGCAAGGGCTTCACAGACAAGAGGGACTGGAATTGCTCCCCTGCAGCTGAAATGCAGCCACCTCTGGAGTGGATCATGGACAGCGCAGAACACGGCCTCTCAGTGCTTAGCGAAGTTCAGTGGGGGAGATCTAGGTTGGATATTGGGGAAAACTAGTTCCCTAGGAGGGTGGGGAAGCACTGGGATGGGTTCCCTCCCGAGGGGGTGGAATCTCCATCCCGAGAGGTTTTTAAGTCCCGGCTTGACAAATCTCTGGCTGGGTTGATTGAGTTGGGATTGGTCCTGCTTTGCGCAGGAAGCTGGACTTGATGACCAACTGAGGTCTCTTCCAAGTCCTAGGATTCTATGATTCTAACAGTAACCAGCACTGAGGTCTAGTTCGGCTGCAGCACAGAGATTCCCTGGAGCCACACTGGAATGTACTCCTGTCACGTCCCCTTCCAGTGAGAGCAGCCAGCCATGGTATCAGTTTGTTCACTGACTACGCCCAGCTGTTTCGTGGTCTGGGGAGGCCGAGGGGGGAGCACGGACTGGTGAGTGTGGATGCAGCCACATGAGTCCGTTAGATAAGCTCCAAACTGCAGTGATGCACGATGGCCCACTTCTGACCAGAACAAGCTCAGTATGCCTTTGCGAGTCAGTGGAAAAGAGGAGGGGGAACCACTAAGCCACCCAGTCCGACCTTCTGTGTATCGCCGCCCAGTAGCCACCCACATCAGACAAAGAGACTGCAGCCCACAGGAGACTGGGCCATGCCGCAGGCAGAGAACACAAGACACCAAAGCCCAAGCACCCTGCAGTGGTGGGGAAATGACTCACTGAGATTTACCCAGGTGATGTAGCGGGTGACCTGCTCCCACAAGCTGCAGAGGAATGAGAAAAAAAAACACCCCAAAGATCTGTGGCCATGTTCCGTCCAGACCCCACCCAGGGCTACAAATGAGACCCTGAGCACAGCAACAAGAACTGGCCAGAGAGAGACAGAGAGAGGGAGAAGATGCTCCATGTCCCCACTTACCCCATCCAGGTTGTCTTCAAATCAGATGGCTGCCTCAAGAGATGCAAAAATGAGCTCCCTGTATCCATCACCTGGGATTATAGTCGCTCAGAACAAGATACCTCTGGGCTCACACAAATACATTGTCCCTTTCCACTGAGAACTGACAACCCAAAAGGGCAGCAGGAAGGAAATGTCCTCATTGTGTAGCTGGCGACCCCAGGTGCAGAGAGCCAGTGACTTGACAAAGGTCACACAAGGAGGCTGTGGCAGAGGATGGGATCCACAACTCCTGGGTCGCCCTCTATGATGTGCAGAGTGAAAGGGCTGGAGAGACGAAGAAGAAGAATGGAGGAGACAGGTTGCCATTTATTTCAGGACATGCGCCTCACACAAACTTCTCCACCGTGAAGCACCAGCTAGGGTGAAGGAAGCAGGGGACGATGCCTTAGAGATTGTCTCCATTGCGTAATTCTGTGTACTTGAAAATCTCATTGCTTGTGCCATTTGTCCCCTCTGGATTCTCTCTGGTGATGTCACTGGCGTTCTAGCGCTCACTTCAAGAAGAAGAGAGCAGAGGCACGCCACTGTGCGTGTGCGTGTGGTATGAAAACTGCTAGTACAGCATGAAGGGCTGCTCTCCGGTGAATAAAGGCCTATTTGTGTAACTAAGTGGTTAGCTAAAATCAGAGGGTTTGGGGGTGGAAGGGGCACTTGATCCTTCCCCTAGGCAGGAGACAGCAGGAGGCAATTTCCATTTCTGAGGCAGATGATGAAGCTATTCAGATCTCCTGAGCTTTACTCTCCTCGGCTCCAGGAGATTGGGGTTCTCTTCCCACAGAAGATTTGTATTTTCTGCCCCAACTTTAGTACCAAGGCATTTTAGGCTGGGAAACCCCCATAGTTCAGTTTCCTAGGTCAGACTACATTTCCCATGGTGCACCTCAGTCTCTCTTCTTGGCACTGCATCATGGGAGTCCCTGGCCCTGATGCATGATGGGAGATGGAGCCCTGCTCCTGGCTCTCATGCACAAATAGATGGTCAAATCCCACGCCATGCAGAAGGAGCTCTGACACTGTGTGTAGGAGGGACAAATTCAGGTCTTTGTCCTTAGACCCAGAGCCCAGCAACAACTAAAACCCTTTGATGCGAAACCTGCTAACAGTTTGCTGAGCTTGTCTGCACAGTCACACGTTCTCACCCCACTGGACTGCCTAGAATAGCACTAGACCTCAAAAGCGCCCAGGCCCCGAACGACCTGCCTGAGGTCACTTCCAGAATGCAAACAGGGCCTCAACTTCTCCACTCAACAGGGTCCCTCCACTGACCCCAATGCCACCGTGTGTGGGTTCACAAGGCAGCAGATGCCCAACAACATTAAACCAATCACGAAGCCCTGGAAGCCATCTCGCTCCAGATAAGGATAGGGCAGGGTTCACTTAGGGACCAGCAGGCCTAGTGGGCCGGCCAGGGCTCAGCAGTCCCCCAAATCCTGGGGTGGGCTTATCAGGCAATCCGAGGGGCTGGTGGCCAAGTTACAGTCTGTCCTTCTCCAGGTTCCCCCGGTCAGACAAAGGCCGGAGGGAGACCTTGGCCCTCCCTCTCCAATAGGTCCCAGCCCAGCACCCAAGGTGGAAGGAGGGTCTCACAGACCAGCCTCCCCTTGGTCACTTCCTACCTCTCCAAGCTGTCTCAGCCACTCAGAAAAACAGCTTCCCCGTCCCCACCCCAGCGCCCAACGATTCCCCTTTGTCAGGGGGAATGGGAGGGGAAAAAGACGGGGCGAGCAGTGAAGGGGAATCCAGGGTCCACTGTTCATGTGACACCTCCCCCCGCAGCCTGGGGAAGGACTGGGACAACCCCCCATTGTTCCAAGCCCTGCCTCTCCTCACCCAAGCTTCACCCCCTTCTGACTCTTGCTCCACCCTCTCCCTGCCTCTTCCTGGCCTTTGCTCTGCCTCCACCCCACCTCTTCCTTCAGTCGAGGCGGCTCTGGGGGAATAGCTTGGCTGGGGGCAACTCCAACCTCCCCCCGCAGCCTGGGGAAGGACTGGGACAACCCCCCATTGTTCCAAGCCCTGCCTCTCCTCACCCAAGCTTCACCCCCTTCTGACTCTTGCTCCACCCTCTCCCTGCCTCTTCCTGGCCTTTGCTCTGCCTCCACCCCACCTCTTCCTTCAGTCGAGGCGGCTCTGGGGGAATAGCTTGGCTGGGGGCAACTCCACCAGCCGGGGTCTCCCCCCCCCACCCCCCCCCGGGGGA